AACGCAGAAATATCAGATAGGCAAGCATGCTCTTATAGACATAGCCATAGACGTCTATTGAATATTAAGATTTTTATAATATATTATAACCAAATGTGGTAGCCTAGATTTCAATAAAAATAAAATACTAATTGGTTCAACACTGCCTTTGGTAGTAAATAATATCAACCAATAAAAGCAATGTTTGAGTTTATAACAAAACTAGATGCTAACCTATCAGGAATGACGGCGAATCAGAATTTTCTTCTTTATACAATAATCAGACAAATTTTAGTAAAAACAGATGAACCTAAAGAAGGATTTTATCTTGTCAAAACTTGTGATCCAAGTCATTAAATCAAATTTCCATTGCCTTATTAACTCCTTCCCCTCTTAATTGTGTTTCTGTAATATAATGTTACTAATTTTTTATTACTTATGCATGTTTTATTTTATATGTTAAATTTCTAAAAGTTATTGCATTTTGTGGAAAAAAACTTACATTTCATTATCACGACCAATATTAGCTTTTATTAATAAGACAAAACTTTTTTTTTAAATTTATTAAAACATTTTGATTATAAAAGTAAAATGAACAAAATAGAAGATGAGTAAAATGTTTTTAGTGCATTTCCATACTTCATAATTTTAATTTAGGCTTATATTATATTGTTTTAAATATTAGGAATAAAAGATTAAGATTTTTCTAACATTATTTTAAGAATATTTGGGAAATTTAATATATTTAAAAAAACCATGCATAAAAATAAATATAATGCATAGATAATGATAAAAATCTATTTAACATGGACATGATATGTATAATCTTTAATAATTATGTGATACACATTATTTATTTTGGGAAAAATTCAATTTTTGGCTGGAATAAAAGATATTGCTTTGGTTATAATTTCTAATAATGTGTTTTAAAATCTTATATTTTAAATATGGTTCAAAAATGTTAATGCCCCATCGCAAATTTGACTGTTTTTATAAATATCATTTTAAGCTAATAAAAATTTTACCCTCCACCCCCTACCCCCCCCCCCCCCTCAATCAAAATTTTACAAATATTTGAATATCAATTTTCCAACATAACACTTATTTTTTATAAATAAATTTTATTAAAATTTACTTTCCTTGTTAACATTATTCAAAAATATTAATAAAATGGAAAAATATTAAGTTCAAAGAGATTGAAATCAAATGGTAATTTATTTTATTATTATTTAAATTCAAAATTATTAGTAAGTTAGAATTAATAAGTATTTTTAATATTAATTATTAATAAATATATATAATTTTTTAAATATTTTATTATTACTTCGATTTTGTAGAACAGAAGAAGAAATAGAAATACAAAAGTTAAATAAGGCTGAGCATGAAAAAAAGTAATGTGTCATCAGAAGCGATATCATTATGAATTCAATTGATCAATCAGAGTTTATCATTGCTGCTAGTTGCATCAATAAATTATTTTCCTATAGCTCACTACTTTGTAGAAATTTACAAAAACCAAATTTAGATTTGGTTCAGGTTATTGATTTGGCGGAAAATATATATATGAAAAGAATGAATGTAGATGAATATTTTCATAATATTTATATAGACGTTGAATCGAAGGCTAAATTTTATGATATAACACTAATTAAACCTCGTCTAGCACCTGGGCAATTATTGGGGTGTAAAATAAATATTGGCTCAACTTAAGAATATTATAAAATATCCACTTTCATCCCATTCTTAGATACTTTTTTATCGCAAATAAAAGTACGGTTTTTAGATAAAAAACAAGTCTTTAGCAATCTTCAAGTTTTAATACCCAAAGATCCATCTTCGTTTTCTAATGCCACTATTGGCAAAATTAAATATTTAGCAAAATTTTATTCCTATGATATTGATACTGAAATAAATTTAATCAGTGAATTTGAATTGAGATAAATATTTAATAAGTTTAGCTATTTTACCTGAGCATGCTATTGATGCGTTCAATCGGTGTAAAGAAACCTTGGCTCAAATTCCTAATATTTTGAAGCTGTTTTATATCCTACCATGTTTGCCTATTATAACATGTACGAATGATAGGACTTTCCAAATTAAGAAGGTTGAAAATATATTTATGAAGTACTAATTCCGAATCTCGGCTAAATGGGTTAGCTCTGTTAAATATCCACAGAGATTTGGTCCCAAAGACAAACAATTCTTGATGAATTGGCAACATTCCCACGAAAATTAAAAATCGCATTATAATTATAGTATTTAATAAAAAAATTTGTATAATATTGTATTTGATAAGAAGTTTAAAAAAACATGTTTTTTTTAATTATTTCTTGTCAATATTTTATAGTGTTGTTAAACACCTTGTTTTGAGTCGATTTTTAAAAACGGCTAACTCAGTTATTTATCCAGAAAAATATAATGCAAGCCTGAAAATTTTGCTCATAGAAGGAGCAAAGGTCTATATAGTATCGAAATTTCAAGGTTTAATTTATATTTTTCTGGTGAAAATATTGAGTTAGCCGTTTTTAAAAATCAGCTCAAAACGAGCCGTTTAACAACATTAATATTTTATACACACTACTATTAGTATTATAAATAAAAAAATTATATTATACTTATATTGTATGTTTAAGCTGAGGCTAGTTTTTAAAGCAAATTTTATAAAAAAAATGACATTAAACTTTATTTCAACTTTACATTTAAAAAACTTTATTAAATATAATATACCTTACTAAAAATAATAAAAAATAGGCTTGAAATATCCATGCACGAATTAGTAAATAATAGTTACAAATAGAAATATAATTATTATTAAATTATGAATAATTAAATGGAATAGCTAAAACATAAGACCCGGCCGAAGGCCGGGGGAAAGCTGGGATAAAGGGGGTTTGGGGGCGAAGCCCTCAAAAATCCTCCCCCCCCCATAAGAAAATCCTGGATACGCCACTGGGATGGTTTCTATAATAGAAGCAGCATTGAAGGATTTTATTCTTTGAAGAATATCGTCTTAAATTACCCTAATCATTGTTCTGTATGCTAATTAAAAATAATAATATAAGTATTGCTGAATTGGTATCAAGGTTGTCGTCTAAAATAATTTTCCATATTTTATTCATTAGCGAATATTAGGACATAAGAAGTAATCAATAATCATAGGCGCATAAGGTGTAATCCAAGTAAACGAAATAAGTATGACACATGATAAATCTTTCATAATACACAATATATAATCTCTAAAGTTTAACAAAAATGTTCTTTATATAACCATTAAAAAAAAATTAATAATCATAAAAAAAATAATCAATTATTCAGTTACGCAAAACGAAAAATAAAATGTTCTTCGTTTTAAAATTAAATTTAACATAAGTGATAAAATAATAAAAAATGTAAATTGTAAATTGTAACGATAATATAAACAAATTTTTTTAAGTTAAGAAATAAAAATCTTTTTTTATTATTGCTGTTAGGTATAAAATAAATATCTTTGAAATAAAACGAATACTTATATCTAACATCCCACCCTCCAAAGAAATCCGGCCTAGGTTCTCCTTGGACAAAAGTCTTCTAATGTTCTTGATCTTGTATGCAAGTTGCTCAAATCGTTGCTTAACGGTTTGCCTGTTGTCCATTTTGTTTAACACGTTATGTCATCGGCTTGATCATTACGTTTTGTTTCTTCGTAGTTATGTTCTTTAATAAGCGGCGGTCATACTCAGTTGTTATTATCATCATTGTTTATTATCATTAGTGTAGTGTTGTTAATTAGTTTGTTGTGTAAAACCCTGTTATGAATTCAAATTCAACTTAAATTTATTCAAATAATATTTTTATTTTTGTTATGAATTCAAATTCAACTTATATTACTTTTTATTTTTCGTAACCTTACTTTTTGTTTTTTTTGTTTAATCATATATATTATAATTTTATATAGTATATATATAGCATGTTTAAAAAAGAAAAGAAGCAGTTAATAATAATAAAATATATTTTTACTTACTTGCACGTTTATCATGATTCTCTTCATGGTGGTACATGTTTGGCATAAAAAACTCGCCTTATGGAAATTTTTTTAAAAATAAAATTTTTTTTTCTCTGTAAATATGAATAACAAAAAATCATAAAACGATACAAATAATTTCTATATAAAGAAGGAAAAAATAAGGTAAAATCATTTTGATATTATTTCTATCATGTTTGCTTTTAAATTCATCAACATTCCTTATGAAATTTCCATTTACGATATATTGTTCGATTTGACTTATAACTGTGATGTACACCACTCTAGAATACGGGGTACTGACGATGTATTATTTGAGTTCGTGAACCTCAGAGATATGATAAATTGTTTTGAGTCATTAAATGGCAAACATTATGTGTATAACGAGTCAGAATTTATAGAATTAAATTGTATGTTTGTTAAAATATAAATTGTTAAAATATAAAATGTTATAATTATCAATACATATGATTTACTAATAAAACATGGAAATAAAACCAGAGTTTATACATAAAATTCCTAAATTAGTTGGACCACTTACTGAGATTTACTTAGACAGAATATTAAGTTATTTTTCGACCAGCACATTATCGGACTTTATTAAAATAAATACTTTGCTTAATAATTTATCAGTCGAGGTTTTTGACAATATTAAATCAATTTGTTCTGATACCGACATACTAGATCTTAAAATTGTGACTAAAAAATTAACTTACCTTTTACCTGTGCAAGATAAAAACACTTTAATTAATAAATTTAATTTATTACAGCAGAACTCGTCTGAGAGTTTCATGCTGTGGTACATAAGAGTATCGAAACTGCATAAAAAATGTAATTTTTCGGACGACAGTAGATTAAAAGAAAAATTATGTACATCTACCTTAAATGACAAGATAAAATATAAATTTTGTAAAATTATTAGCTTAGCATTAAATGAGATGGTGGAGTTAGGGATTAAGTTAGACAGCATCAGCGATAAGTCAGATGTTGATAATATAAGTTATATGAATAACGACAAAAGACCGATAAAGATAAAAACTTTAACAATAAAAATAGAAACGACAACAATAATTATTTTAGACCTGATAATAATTTTAGAAATAATTATGATAATAGAAATAGAAATGGGAATTACAATAATAATTTTAGATACAATGATAGGAATTACGGTAATAATAATTCGAGATACCACGATAATTATAACAACTATAACTATAATAACTATCGCTATAACAATAATAATCAATCTAATTATGGTAGAAATAATACATGGTATGATAATAATCAAAGAAAACAGATCGAATACGGTGATGGAAATCGTAACAATTACCAATCTTATTACAACAATTCAAATAATTATAGAGGTAATGACAATTAGTGAAGGTCAACGTTCCGGTCCTATCGGTCTTAGAGCGGGACCGGACCGATTGTCGGACCGATCTTTTTGTTAAGGACCGTAGTCCGGACCGGTCTTTTTATTTTTAACGCTCCGGACCGCGGTCCGGACCGGTCTTTTATTAATATTTAAGTTTACTTTACTATTCAATTAATATAATTTTTTTGTATATTTTATTTTATGATATTTTTCTAGAGGAGTTATTTTAGATTTTGTTAATTTTTTTTTTACAGTATGAAAACCATAAGTTTGTCCAAGAAACATTTTACTTATAGTCCTAATAAAAAACAGAATATGTGTTCACTGTAATACCAAATTTAACATATCGTCAGCAACAAGTAACAAAAAAATTGTTTATAATTTTTTAAGCAATAAATTAATCAAAATAAGCAGTATTATTATTAAAATATTTTGGTTGTTATTTATATATCTATTTTTCTTAAGAAACTGTCTGAATAATTCATTGTCAAAATAATTTAACCTTATTCTTAATAAAATAATTAGGTACCTTAAACAGACATTTGATAAAACATAAAATTTATACTTCTAATAATGAAAATATCTCAAAAACACAATCTACTCTTAATTTAAATATGCCCTCCACAAGTACAAAATCACTTTCTTCAATACCATTGGATAAATTCCAAACAGATCATATGAACCAACTCATAATAAAATGGGTAATAATGGACTCTCTGCCAATGAAGACTTTTGAAAGTTCAGGTCTTCATAATTTAATCAAATATTTAAACTCAACTGTTACAATTTGGTCAAGAAACAAAGTTAAAAATTTTTACACAGCTAATTTTGAGAAACTAAGAAATTCTCTAAAAGATATTTTAAAAAAAATAATTCTTTAATAAGCTTTACCACAGATATGTGGAGCAATATAAATAAAATTTCATTTTTAGCCATTACTTCACACTATATTGATTCTTACATTAAAAAATATTTTACTTGATATAAATCATATCCCATTTCCTCTTACTTCTGAAGAAATATCCTTAGCATTAAAAGAAGTAATTGATGTATATCAATTGGAGGAGAATATACTGGCCTGTACTACAGATAATACCAATAACATCCTAAAAAGCATGGATATTTTGCAGAATATTTATAAGGAACAAAAATTTAAAGGCTTTAGATGCTGTGCCCATATTCTAAACCTAATATCTCAAGAAGGTTTATCATATATTACAACTATCCTAGAAAAGTGTAGAGACATAGCCTTTTCTATAAATAAATCACCCAAAATAAATCAAGCATATGTACAAATATGTGAAAATAAGGGTATTACAAAATTTAAAATCCCTTCTGATATCCCTATTAGATGGAATAGCTCCTTTTTAATGATGAATATATGAGGTATTTACATTTTTATCCAATTATTTTTAAAAAATATTTAATTTTTAGAACATGGATGCTATAGCAGAAGTACTTTTTTTGAATTACAAACAATTTAAAGGGGTTTTCTTTACTGAGTGTGAAAAAGAAGACCTTAAAGAGGCTGTAGATTTTCTAAGGCCCTTCTATAAAACCACACTTGATTTATCAGGATCCAAATATCCTACAGTTGGGATTTCCATGTATATGGAGAATATAAATAATGAAATTTTAAATAATATAAAAAAGGATAATAACAATACAAGAAAAGAAATTCTTAATAACATGCGGGTTAAAATGCAGAAATATCTCAAAGAATTATTTTGCTATGATTCATATGTCTCCTCAACATTATTCGATCCGAGATTAAAACAAGTTTAAATGCCTAATACTCTTAATAGAATTGAGTATATGACCAAATTTTCAAAATATTTAAGGAAAATAGAAAATAAAAAAAATACAGGAATAACGGATTCTCAGGTATATTTTTAATATTTATTTATTAAATCCTAGTTTTCAAACATTTGTGCCAGGAGGAAATCAATGAATTTAGTTTTGTAGAAAGAATTTTATCCCAAAAAAGAAATTAAGAAGGGGATTATATATCGGCAGAAATCATTGAAGAAAATATATCAGAACTTCACACCTATTTGAATGAACCTCTTGTTTCATTAAAGGATGACATATTAGTATGGTGGAAAGCCAATAGTGAAAGGTCTTTTATATTTTTTAAATAGTCAATATAGTTTATTATATAGATTTCCAGTCCTCTCATTAGCAGCTAGAAATTTTTTAGCAATTCAAGCAACATCTGTCCCCTGTGAACAAATATTTTCGAAAGCAGGAGATCTTGTCACTAAAAAAAGGAATAGGCTTTCAAACAAAACAATACAAGCTTTGATGTGTATGGGCTCTTGGTTAAAGAATGGAATAGATCTACCGCCTCCATTAAGTCCCTCTTCTAATTCCTTCCAAGGTAGTTCTACAAACAAAGACATTAGCATTTATTTAAATTAAATATTTGTATTAATTATTATATTATTCATAATTAATTTTATATTGTTTATATAATACTCTTATATTTAATAAAATGATAAAACTAATTAAATTAGGTTAAAAAAAATATGTTTTTTAAACAAATAAAAAGACCGGTCCTGGACCGGTCTTTTTATTTAGGACCACGGTCTGGATCAATTTTTTTTAAGGACCGTGGTCCGGTCCGGTCCGAGGGTATCGGTCCAGTCCGGACCAAAGACCGGACCGTGACCTTCACTAATCACAATAATCAGAGAAAACAAATACAATATAACAATAACTCAAATAATTATAGAGGTAGCGACAACAATAATAGAAAGCAAATACAACAATGATTATAATATGAATATTGAAGAAATTATCGAAGAGAAAGTTGACTCTACAAAGAACAAAGATGATAATGATTTCAATGTTAACAACTTATCTGGTGACATGCTCTATAACAAAGATAACGCATTTATGACTACTTTAAAAGTGAACGATATTGCTACATGTATGCAGGCTCCAAACATACTATTATACCTCATGGTCTGGCTAAAAAACTTGGTATTAGAGATGTTAAGAAATCCCAGTTACAACTTACCGCTTATGACGGAAATTTAATCAAGATCATCGGCACCACTCAAGTTAAAGTTACTTATGATGGTATCTCAAAATATCTACAAGCGGTAGTCGTCGAATCATGTAAAAATGTCTTGCTGGGACGTACATGGATCAATGCTTTCAAAAATATTTTAAATAAATTTATAGCAAATGTTGACACTAATCACGAAGATAAAATAAGAAAATTAATTAAAGAGTGTGAATCCAAATTGACTAATGGGCCAATCAACAAAGCAAGTGTCAAATTACATTTAAGAAGAGATGCCCAACCTAAAATTATACCGCCTAGACGTATTCCTTATTCAAAAATTGATCTTGTTAGCAATGAACTTAAGAAATGGATACATGATAAAATAATTGAGCCGGTGAATGATGTCCGATGGGCATGTCCTGTTACCGCTGCCTACAAAGATGATGGGAGCATTAGGCTTTGTGCTGATTTTAAGGACACTGTAAACCAGCTCTAGAAGATTTCAGATACCCTCTACCACGAATCAATGATCTAATGGCTAAACCTTCAGAAGGAAAGAAATTTATGAAGATTGACTTTAAAAATGCTTTCTTACAGATACCAATTGATAAAAGTTGCAGAAATATTTTAACCATATCTACGCACAAGGGATTTACCAATTTACTAGACTTCCTTTTGGGCTTAAAACCTCATCTGCAATTTTTCAACAGATCAGGCTCTCGCCATTATGTTCGCTATAAGGAGGTTCCAGGAATACTTAATCGGCACAAAATTTACAATTATTACTGACCATAAACCTCTAGTTCACATTTTTACCAAGGGTCTTAAGGATAATAGCACCATGTCCTTAAGACTCCAGAAGTGGAATATTACATTAGGAGGATATGATTTTAATATAAAGTATAAAGCCGGTAAATATAATGTTGTTCCTGATTGTCTCTCCAGATTACCACAAGAATGTCATGATGAAACTATTGAAAATATCACTATAATAAATGAATATGGGGATTTACCTATTAATTTTAATCAAATTCGTGATGAAACTTTGAAAGATATGGAATTAAAACAAGTCATAAATGATATTAATAACAACAGGCCTATAATGAATAATATTTATAAAAACATCGAATTGGAATTAAGTATAATTAAGGATTGTCTTAACAAAAGCAACAGAATCATAATTCCGTCTTCTATGAGAAAAAATATACTACAGTCATTACATGAAGGTCACTTGGGAGCAGGAAAAATCAAATCCTTAGCCAAAGATTACATGTGGTGGCCTGGTATAAATAACGACATAGTAATGGAAGTGAAAAGTTGTGACGATTGTAACATATATCATGATAATCCTATAAAGATACAAAAACTATGGGTTTTGGCAACCAAACCGTTTGAAAGGATACACATAGATTATGCGGGTCCGTTCTTCACAAAAAATTGGTTGATAATAGTCGATTCCTACAGCAAATTTCCAATTATTATTCCTGTTAAAAATATTACGACTGATGTGACTTTAAAAGAAATCTTTAAAACTATTTCGCTATATGGAATACCTGAAACTATAGTTACTGATAATGGCACTAACTTTACGAGTAACGATTTTGAAAAATTTTGCAACAATTTCGGCATCAAACATGTGCTCACATCTGCGTATCACCAGCAATCCAATGGCCAGGTGGAACGCATGGTGAGAACGTTCAAAACACATATGAAAAGGAATATTAAAATTTACCTAGATATCGCATTTGGCAAATTTTTATTTAATTATAGAAATACGCGTAATGATACTACAGGAGTTACACCATCTCAGAGAATGTTTAATCGAAATATTAGAATTAAATGGGACTTATTAAAACCGTTGGAGGAGAAGGAGAATAAAATAAACGTTACTTTACCACGTACTAGAACCTTTAACGTAGGAGATTTTGTTTGGTACAAAGTACAAGGTGATGATAAATGGTGCAAAGGTATGATCACACATAAAGAAAGTGACATGATGTTCCAAATTAAGACAGAGAAAGGTATTTTGAGGAGACATTTAGATCAAATAGTAATTAGAAACTGTTTTAACACAATTATTAACTATGACTCTAAGGATTCTTTTAAGGAGGGAAGTGTGGACAAAAATATTAAAATTACTGATAATAACGATATAACACCTATTTCTAGACCTGTGCGAATTAAACAAAAACTTGTTTATTTAAAAGACTACATAACTTAAAATATAACATAAATATTAAATTGCATAAAGAAAATTAAATATTAAAACGCTTACACTAAAACGCAAAAAATTAAAACCCTGAAAATATTATATAACATTCTTATTGATTTATCATTCTTCGTTTATTCTTATATCCTATATGATGAACTATTATTTCTTATTATTCGCAACTTACTGATGATAATAACAATTTTGTGAGTACAACCAAGCAAGCTATATGACAAAGTCAAGATTTATAAGGACAACTTACGATAAGGATATCAAGCTTACGATTTAAACAAACCAACGTAAAAACAGAGTAAACGATTAGGACAAGCCAACGATATGATGACTTGTGAAACAACTTGTTGAACAAAACTACGAAAACATAATTATAGTGTGAAGGCTTTTTAGAAGAAGGAGAATGTTATGAATTCAAATTCAACTTATATTTATTCAAATAATATTTTTATTTTTGTTATGAATTCAAATTCAACTTATATTACTTTTTTTTTCGTAACCTTACTTTTTGTTTTTTTGTTTAATCATATATATTATAATTTTATATAGTGTATATATAGCATGTGTAAAAAAGAAAAGAAGCAGTTAATAATAATAAAATATATTTTTACTTACTTGCACGTTTATCATGTCTTCAAACCCAGACCCAAGGTTTGGATCTAAAAATCGACCAAACCAGCTCTGGCACTAACCCCGAGCACAGACTCTGGGTCCAGACCCGGGGTAAAATAAAAAATATATACCAAAAATATAGAAACAGCAATTCAGCTTAGGGTTAAAAAAAGGCTTAGAAATATCATTAAAATAATATTAAAATGAGTTATTATGTTGGTTAGCCGAGCGATTATTTTCAGCTATACCATCCTAGTTCAGAATTAGATACGAACTTTCTGGCCGGATTTGTGTAATTCATCGCTATTTTTAAAACACGTATTGATTTTTTTTCTAATTTTAGAAATGTATGTTAGACTGATGTATATTTCACATATATTTAAAATAGTAGTTTTAAATAATTATTGATAAATGTCAATCAATTAAATAATTTGTATTTAGAAAAATAATAGATATTAATTATATTATATATATGAGATTATGAATTTAGGTTTTTCAGTGTGAATTAAATAGAAGAAAAAAAGAAAAGAATATTTTTAAAATAGAAGAATAATTATATTGTAATATATTATATGAAGAATAGATTTTAAAATAAAGAAATTGAAATTAAATTAATTCAATAGAGAAATATTTTAATTAAAAAAAAACGCGAAAATAAGTTTTACATTATACGTCTTCTTCTCTATCTTTTAATATCTCTTCTTCTTCAGTTTCCATACAATTATACTTCTCTTGAAAATTCGTACTGTTCGTCACTGTAACTATTGTTGATCTCAACATTGTATCCTTCTCGTTTGGAGCTGGCATCTTCCCATAATATTTGAATTTAGAATAGATTTTAAAATAAAGAAATTGAAATTAAATTAATTCAATAAAATGAGAAATATTTTAAGACAAGTACATTTGACATTAATTTTTAAATTCGGAAAGATTGAGCTA